AAGGGAGAAATAGAGGAAGTTACATCAGTGAAGACTCAGAGCATTCTTCTCGCAGTAATTAATAAATCAGGTGGAGAGAAAACGAGGAAGGCTGTAGCAGACTCAAACAAAACTACAAAACCAGCTTGGTATAATTTACATTTATAGAGCAATACACCAACAGAGACCATAAATCTTTAGACAAAATCTTCACCAACATAGAGTGTATTATGGGCCATAAAACAAGTCACAACACAGCTTAGACTGAAATCATACAGTGCATGTTCTTAGATTACATGGAGTTAAACTGGAAATCAATTAAAGAAAGAATTTTAGAAAAACTAATTATTTGGAAATTAAAAAAAATACACACATTTCTGATTATCCCAGAAATTGAAAAGGGAAAATTAGAAAATAATTTGTGGCTTCTATTCTGGTGTTGAATCTAAGAAACTATTGCTTAACCCTAGTCATAAGGATTTACTCCTGAAAACTACAAAATATTGCTAGGAAAAGTTAAAGATTATATAGAGAAATAAATCACATTTAATAATTAACAACTCAAAATTGTTAAGATGTTAGTTTTCCCCAAAAACATTTATAGATTCAATATACTCAATAAAAATTCCAGCAGACTGATTTTTAACAAAAGCTTGTTCTGAAATTTATATGGAAATGCTAAGGACCTAAAGTTTCCAACATAATTTTGGGAAAGAATAATAAAGTTGAAGAGCTTCCACTATAAACGTTAATACTTACTATAAAACTATAATAATTAAATTAAATCCATTTTATTGAATAAGGGCAAATATATGAATCAATGAAACAGAATGGAGTATAGAAATACATGTATACACTTACAGTCTATTGATTTTTTGCAAAAATACTAAGGTAACTGCACAGAGAAAGGACAGTATTCAAAATGGCTCAAAAATTACTCCATATGATGCAAACATCATCTTGAAATGGATCAAAGACAAATATAAGAGCTTAAACAACAACAACTCTAGAAGAAAACATCAAGTTTAGGCAATGGTTTCTTACAAGACCAAAAAGATGAATCCACAAAAGTAAAATATATTAAATTGGACTTTATCAAAATCCAAAGCTTGCACTCTCAAAAGAACTATTAAGAAAAAACAAGTCATGTACTAGGAGAAAATATTTTAAAATGATATTTTTGATAAAGCACTTATAGCTAAAATACATAAAGGACTTCTACAACTCAAAATAAGAGTAACTCAATAAAAACAGGCAAGACATCTATCTAAAGAGTGATTTTAGAAAAGAGGATATACAAATGACCAAACCATGAGATGGCTAACATCAGTCAACTAGGAAATATAAATAGAATCACAAATAGATGGCATAATATATGTGACGTAAGTATGATATAGTCACATGTCACTGAACGGTGTCAATGCAGACCACATTCACATATGCAGAGGCCACGCTATGTAGTCTACTCATGAAACTGCGCTACTTCTCAGGACGGATTCCCCCTTTTAGTCATTGCAAATACAAACAGGTGCTGGGGACAGCTTCTGAGAAATGCACGGTGAGTCAACGGTGTCATTGCATGAACGACGCAGAGTGTGCCTGCTTAAACCTAAGATGATACAGCCTGACATACTTAGGTTATAGATGGGGACCTCTGTAACAGATGTGGTTCATTGTTATCAGATACGTTATCATGCAGCTCATGGCTTTGTATTTAGAAAGGGACAATTACTCAGCTATAAAAAAGGAACCACTACTGTTTCACCAACAAGGATTAGTCTCAAAAACACTATGCTAAATGAAAAAAAAGCCAGGCACAAGAGACAGTGTAGAAAATGATTCTATTTAAATAACATTCTAGGAAAGGTGAAACTGTAGTAACAAAAAGTTGATCAACTGTTGCCAGAGGCAGTTGACTTATAAAGAGGAATGAGGAAATTTCAGGGTGGGGTGACAGAAATTTCTACCTTGATTGTAGTGATCATACAATTACACACAATTGTTGTGCACAGAACAATGGTGAATGATATTATACATAAAGTATGTCTCAGTAAAACTGAAAACAAAACCTGACTCAAACAGAAACAACCGAGTAGATCTGTAACTATTATTAAGAAAAGTGCAACAGTCTAAGATCAAAGCAGTCCACATAGCTCACCACACTCACTCATTCATTACACACCCGGTTCCCACATGATGCCAGGTCTGGTATGTAGGAATACAGGGTTTTCAGCATCCAAAACAGGCAAAGTTCCTGCTCTCTTGGAGCAGAATATCATCTGCTTGGGGAGAAAGAGCACAGATGAGAACTGATGCCAGGGATGAGCCCTAAAAGGGGAAAAGTGATTTTGGGACAGAAAAGCAGATGCTGTTTATTCCCAGGGAAGCCCCTCTTTGATGGCATCTGAACTGGACTGGGAATGGGGGGCCCATACATGTCTCCAGCATGGGGAACAGTACATGCAAAGACTCCAAATCACAAGCAGGAGTGTGTTTGTAGTTTTCAAAGTACAAAGAAGTCATGAGGCTCGAGCAGAGTTAGGTAGTGGACAGTAGCAAAGGCCATGATCAGACAGGTCGTCAAAGGCTTTGAGGCCATGGAAGGATTTTGGCTCTGAGTGAAATGTGAAGCCAGTGGCCTAAGTTTCCTAGTAGAGAAGAAGCAGATCTTTGTTTAAAAGGACTTTTCTGGCATCTGTGCATACAACAGACTACAGGTCAGGAGTTTTTGTCTGTAAAGGGCCAGCTGGTAACTATTTTAGGCTTACAAACCATCAGGTCTATGTCAAGACTACTGAACTCTGCTGTTAGGAGTGAAAGCAGCTGTTTTAACATGTGAATGAAGGAGTGACTGCTTCTATAAAACTTTATAAAAACAAGCCAGGCATAGGATTTAGTGCTGCCGTTTGTTTACCTTGGAGCAGACTACAGGGATCAAGGGTGAAGGCAGGTAGATCAGTCCGGAGGTCCCGCAACAAAGTTGAGCAAGAGGTCATGGCCATTCTAGACCAGCGTGGCAGAAAAGGGGTGAGATGTGGTCAGACTGCAGTATGTTGTGAAGGGGAGCCAACAGAATTTGCTGGCGGATCAGATATGAGGAGTTAGAGAAAGAGGCTTTTGTCCTAATTGGAAGAACAGTTATTTACAGGTTTGGGAGGAGGGGGAGAGATAATAGAGAAACAAAAATAAAGAATCTGGATTGAGACAAGTTTGGATAGCTATTAAATACATCGGGTCGGACAGAGGATCTGGAGCATAAGAGCAAGGCTGAGTTTACAGAAGTAAATTTAGGAGTCTTCTCTGCAGAGCTGGTTTTTAAAACCATGGGAATGGGTGAAATGTCCTTAGGAAGGGAAGACATGGAATCAACCCAAATGCCCAATGTAGATTCCCAAAAAAGGCTGTAGTACATATATACAATGGAATATTACTCAACTATCAAAAAGATAAACACATGCCTTGTGCAGCAACATGGATGGAGCTAGAAGGGGTCAAGCTTAGTGAAATATGCCAGAAAGAAAAGGAAAAATACTGGATGGTTTCACTCATAGCAGGAGCATAGGGATTGGGGGTGGTGGGGGGTGGGGTTGGGAGGAAGAGGGAAATAAATGTAATAGAGGAAAAATGAAAACAATGAACAACTATAAACCAGAGACATTTTATGGGGATGGAAGGGGAGGAATGGGCTCAGAAGGGTGGGAAGAGTGCACTGGACTAAGGTGATGGCACATGGGTGAACTGGTGGGAAGCCCGTGGGGATTACAACTGAGATGAAAAAATGCACAAAATGAAGAATGATGTAAAACTAAATAAATAAATTTAAAAAAAAAGAGGCCCTCCCTGGTGGTTTAGTGGGCTAAAGCACAACACTAAGAAGCTTAAGTCACTTTCTCATGAGTTCGATCCTTGCCCCGGAGGTGACCACATGGCATGGCAGACCTCTCCTGACCTGCCTGCTGCTCCCCTCAGCAGTGTACTTCATCAATCTGTCTGTTCTGCTCCCCACTCTGTCTCTGGTGAATCCTCTCACCCTCCACATCTGTGGCCTGTACCCCAGTTCTATATGAATAAATAATCTTTAAAAAAAAAAGAAAGAAAGAAATCTCCTTAGGAGACATGAAGTGCCATGAGTGACCATCATAAACAGAGGGAAAACCAGGCTTGAGGGCACTTTTACCCATATTTTTCCCAGACAGACAGATAATCCTCTTTACACCCCAGCATTGGGAGGGAACTTCCTCCCCCAGTGCATGGTGACTTGACACACAACAAGCTAAGGAATTTGTAGCCTGACCTCTTTTGAGTGTATAAAATCTTTAAAAAGTCTTACTATATCGCAAAGCAAGTACAGAAATTTGTGGTAAGATCAAGTAGTATTTATCTGAAGGAGGTAAAGCTTATTGAATATTATTCTATGGACAATTTACCACACTGCAAATTAAAGAATCCATGATCATATGAACAGAAAAGCATCTGTTCATGACTGAAGAAGTTAAAACCCGATTTTCCAAAGCAGAGTAGGGTTAGTTTGGGGGCTTCTTTACGTGACAGATTGTAGCTACCAAGCCAGTAATATTTCATTCTTTTGAAAACAACTTGGAGTGAAACGAGGACTCAGCCATAATTTTCTCTAGTACTGTACTGCAGTTCCTAGCCTGTGTAGTGGGATTTATTTTTTAAAGAGTCGCAAAACTACTATTATTCATGGTGATGTTTTCCATAGAAAAAAACTCCTGATAAATTTACTTGAAATAAGAGAACTTCTGGGTACGGTCGATATGGGGATCGTTGACAATGACCAGTCACAAGCAGTGATCAGCTTTAGAGTGGGATGTCTGAGAAGGTATTTCATGTACCCGAGGTCACACAGCCGGTAAAGCCTGAGCAGACCAGTTAAGGTTTCCATGGCATGGAAATGGGGGTCTGCCTCCCTCTGGTGCAGACAAAGCCCCACCCCGGCTGTGTCCTCCCCACCCAGGGGCTGAGACGAGGCCTTTTCCAGACTGGCGCAGGAGGCTCACCATGGGAAGCACCGAGGCCCTAAGCGAGGCGATGACAATGGGCCTGGTCTTCTTGTCCTCCTGACATGCTGGGGGCAGGAGCTCCACGAGGTTCACCTCCTCTTTGGCTTTCTCCCCCAAGCAAATCTGAGGGATGTTGAGAACAGACAGGCTCACCTCACCACCCCCAGGGCCGAGGAAGGAAACTCTGTCCACCTGTGGGGACCAAGAACTCGGCCTGCTCCATTCTCCTCTGGCATAGCAGAGGGTCACGCACCATTGTCAGCAGCAGCTTACAGTCCTGCCCCCCCTCCTTCCGGGGTCTGAAGGTCCAGGTTGGCTTCTCTTGGTTTAGCTCACAGCCTGCGAATGAGACAGTGGGGAGGGTATGGAGTGGCAGACCCAGGGGAGGCTCCCCTTTGCTTGGCTGCAGCCTGTTCCCCAAGACGAGGCAGCCCCCCAGCACCTCAGGAGCTCTGAGAACAGCCTCAGGCCTCACTCACCCCACAGCAAGGTGGTTGCTGCCTTCTCAGCTGTGCAGCTGCTGCGATTCATGTCGCTGGGCAGTGGGAGCTGTGGAGAAGGGTGCTGGCTGAGGCCCGGCCTCCCGCCTCAACTGCTTTCCTGCAACTCCGAGCCCGGCACCCACAAGCTGGAGGCATGCCCACTCTGAACCAGCCCACCCAAGCTGGAAGCTTCCGCAGAGCGGACAAGAGGTGATCAGACCTGCTGCTGGGAGGGTTGCTGACATGCCCCACTGGCCCTCCCAACACCCTGAAGCCGTCACGGCCCTGTGGGGTCTGCGCCCAGGCACACTCATCCCTGGGCCAGCTTCCCACCCTTCCTCAAAAACCTCACCGTCCCTACACCTTCAGAGCGGGCGTTGCCATGGGCTCCTCCGAGGAGCCAAATGCTTTTCTCTGAGGCTCCCTCACTCCAGCCTCATCCCGCCTCACCCACACCGGCTGCCCACAGTGGGCAGTTATTAAGCCTGGAAGGGGGAACAGGGAGGTCTCTAATCAGCCTTAAAGAAGAGACCTGTCTTTCCCCACCCCATTCTAAGTTTCTCGCCTTGCCTCAGAAACACCTGGAGGCTTGTTAAAACAGTCAGTACTGGGCCCCACACGCCTGGTTTCAGGTGGGGGTGGTCTGGCTGGGGCTGTTTCTACCTGTTCCAGGTGAGTTTGATGCTGCTGGGCCAGGACCTTGAGAGAATGGCGAAAGCCACTGACATGGCAGTGGGCACTGACCACGGTGTCCAGCTCCAGGTGGAGCAGTGTAGTGCTGCTTTTGCATCTCTACCCCCTAAGTGCAGGCTTTTCTTTTCTTTTTTTTTT